TGCCTCCCTCCATCTGTTCTTACCTAAGGTCACTTGACTCCTTCGTCCCCCTTGCTGAAGAATGTGGGGGAATTCCCTTATTTGTAAAGCCCCCCAACTCTTGGCACATGTTCTTTTGTCCCGCTCGCTCATGGCTCTGCTCAGTCTCGCCTCTCCCTTTGTCCTGCTCCTCAGCCAGACTGTGAGGAAATCCCCTTATTGGTGAATACACAAACTTGAGCATTGCTCTCACTCTTAATAGTATAGGTTGCTAAATAACCAAAAGGGTACAAGAGATGTTCTCCTGAGTGCTTGCTATAAGAGGACAGCATCAAAATGACGGTGGCCGTACCGATTTTACCACACGCGACGGCAACAGGAGAGTTCCCGAGTGCTGTGCGCATGCGCGTCCCCCCTTACCGTTGCAGTACCGACATTTCGACACGCGATGGCAGCAGCGAGCGCTCCCGAGCGCTCCGCGCATGCGCGCGGCCCTTGCCGTCGAGCGCGGCCTCGTCGCCACACGACGGCAGCAGCGAGTCCCGCCGGCGCTCCGCGCCCGCGCACCCTCCGCGTTCTGTTGGAATCTTCACAACTGGATGCCTGCAAGTGCCAATTAGGAGTTTACATTCACACAAACCATCCAATTCAGGAGTTCATAGCCAGTAGTAGCAGAGGGTATTTTCCCTGCAGAAATACCTGGTTTGGGGAATTGTACATCGTTTCTGAGACTTTTTCCCAGATGCAGAAATCATGCTGCTTAAATACACATTAATATGTGTTTAGAAATGCATCTGAGAAGTTTGGCTACATTAACCCTGGTCGTCCTATCTTCTTTTCTTTTCTACTTGCCACTTTTCACAGCTCTTTAAAAACAGGTATTTCTTTCACCATATTTAGCCTCATAAAGTTATTATAAATATTATATTATGCAATTAGACACACTTCTGTTAAAAAACTAGGTTTTACCATTCGTGCTATACCTGCTTGTCAATAACATAAGCAAGTAACAGATGTGCAAACATTCTCCAGAAAGCAAGCTTAACATGAAACAAATGTTTATTAAAAAGGGCTGTACAGACAAGTTAAACAGGTAGCACATTGTTACTGTCTTCAACTGGGCATAAGAGTAAAATATTCAGAACACAGAAGCAAATGAAACCAAATACTAAAATAAAATCCATGAGGTTGGAATTAGAAAACGGTAAAATAAAGGAAATCACTTTATTTAAAATGTTGCTAAAGTCTTAACTTCTTGAGTAGTCTGGTATTTAAAGTATCAATGGCTATTACTTCAAAAGCAGGTCTAATTCTCCAGCTTGAAGCCATTGGCAGATTCACTCAATCATATGTGCTCTTTAGAAAGCAAAAGTTGAACTCATTAAGTGCAAGTGTTAGAATTTAGCTTGTGTTTTCTAAGTATTAGAATTTGTCTTATGATTTCTCTGTTTAGTTATTGAGGTACTTGGCACCAGTCTGATCAACCGAGTTATTCCGGCTTAGATTCACATATTTCCATAGCAAAGCCTTTACACACAACGTAGTATTCTTGCTCTTTCAATGTGCTGGGGCAGGATATGGGTAGTTTTTGTTATTTAGCTGTAGAAAAATAGGCCTGTCCTAAAGTTAGGAACTGCAACAAAAGAATCCAGTGCTTTTGCTGTTGCTCGAATACTGATTGCAAAGAGGGTGATGAAGCCAGTGTTACACCAAGCTTCAGCAATATAAATCCTGTGAGCTCTTCAGGCTTGAACAGCATCTCAGGGTACATGAGAAGAGTTTCAAGTAAAACTGTTAAACTGAACTTAGTGATGAAATAACCTCAAAGCATTGCAGGTACAAAGGGAAAAAAAATAAAAAGCTTGTTTTCCATGTATCGACAAGAAAAAAAACAATAATTCATAATTATCTCTGTATTCTCTTGAGAAAGATGACAGGTAGACAAGCACTGAGGGTTGTCATGCGAAAAACTATTCATGTAAACTTTCTTAATGAAAGAGAAATACCATTTCCCTAAAAAAAAAAATCTGCTTCGTTCCTACTCAGAAACCCTTAATATATAATCCAGATTTTGCCCTCTTTAAATAGATTGATTGATTATCAGCAATGCAAACAATTTGTATGGCACAATTTCCTGAAGGATATGAAAATAAATATGTAAATACTAATCCACGACTGATACAAATACAGGCTGCTCATCCCCCTCACCCTCTTTTTTAAAGAAAAAAAAAACAAAAACCTTCTTAAACACAAGGACAAAAGAAACAATTTTTAAAAATAAAAAATACAAAATGGACATCCTGAATTAGGAAATGGTTAACCCTCAAACATGCTTTAGTTTAGAGCTCTTGAGATCTCTAAGAAATATATAACCTCCAAAAGTAGCAGTGAAGTGAGAGCAGTTAGGACTAACCCCATTTATTTCAGGACTTTTAAGACTATAAATCCAACTTTCTATCTTTTTTTACACACTGCTTCATTCCTTCACTCACTGTCCACTGTTGCTACTTTTCACCCCCATTATCAGAAGTATCCTGTTCTCCTGCTTGCAATAATGAGAAGTCGATGCGCTATTCTCTTAACGGTGCATATTTTTCCTTAAGCCAAACAAAATCCTCTGATCAGGGCCGTCATCATGTGGCCACTCTGATATTTAAGGGTAGAATTCAATATTGGTGTTAGAAAATATGAGCAAGGATAGAAAATTAGAACACTGCTGCTACCTGGTAAAGAGAGCATTGGTCAGGCAGTCAGACTAGCCTCTCCGTTGCACAGAGACTAAGTCCCAGTAATACAGTTAACAGAGACTGCTTTTTATGTATTTTCGGGGGCACACGATCCATATTCTACTGAGATGTTTATTTGGCTGTGAAACATTAAAATGGAAAAATACCATGTGATTTTGCCATAAATTATAGAACTATTTTCAATAAAATACTCATGTATATTATGATAGAGTTGAGAAATTCATGGTGACATATGTGATTTGGCCAACAAAATCTTTTGTATCATCTCCAGTATTTTGTTCAAGTCTTGTGATCAGAGATTTGGGGCTTCTCTGTCCTTCCTTTTTAACAAGCAAAATTCTTAATATAACCACTGGAACATAATCATAGAAAAAAAAAAGAGAGGAAGAGTCTGGACTGGCAGTCCATGCCTCCTAAAGCTAGTGGAAAGAATAATTTAGACTTACTATCAGTTTAGACAACAAACAAATGACAAGATCGGAATTTGAAAGCAGTAAGTTTTATGCCTCAGTTCTGTAGTTGGGTCACCACCATTTTCTCCTTTGGAGGAGCTCTGATTACATGAGAGGAAACAACAGGAAGACATAGATACAATGAGAAGTCTGAAGGATCCACTAATTGGAGTACTTTTGGTCCATGTACAGAGAGAGAAACTACTCTGGGCTGAAATAGAACTAGCTTGAAAGTCACTTATAAAAAGACAAGCAACTAGTTGGTGGGGGGGCAGGATTTTCAGTTAACACTGCTTCTGATGCATGCTATTGAATTTCCCTGTGATCCACTGCAGGATAAGTCTATTGAGGATTTTGGCAGTAGAAACCAAGAAGAGCACACACGCAGAATGGCTAATGTTGCAGCCACAGAGGCAAAGAATTATTTGTTATTTAGTGCCTGATCCCTAGAGAACTAGTAATAGATCCTAGGAAAATCACTAATGCAGTTCATCTGAGCCTTATACTTAAGTCAGTCTTCTGACTGCTGATGGTAAAGTATTAGAAATTATGTCATTTATAGCAATTCATACACCACCTACAACTTGATCTGCCTTCCAAATTGTAAGCCAAGTTTGAGGGAACAGTACAATCAAACTCCAGTAATTGATCAAAATTCAATTGTGTTCTGATGCACTGATTTCCTATTTTCTATATATATATATATGTGTGTGTGTGTGTGTGTGTGTGTATATATATATTTTCCCATGAACATATCCCTTATAAAAACAGTTCTATTTGATACCCAAGGCTATGTAGTATTACTAGCCAGGCAGAGAAATTGTTCTTTAGAGAACAGAGAGACAATCTCCTATTTCTGCACTTCAAGTAGTCTACTTTTATGAGGAAAAAATGGACTACTTTTTGTAATATCTGCTTAAAAAGAGGGCATAAAAGAACTTGTGGTACTTACATTTGGCCTGTAGGAACAGTCTGACATTCAGGATACTATTTTCTTTAGGCTCCAAAAGATACAATGTTTGAAATGTTAAACTTTAGCACCATTAGTATTTCTTTTCCTAAAACCAAATTTCAAGGACTAGAAGGAAATTAAGATAGAACAGAAACATTGTGCTTACATAACATTAAATAGAAAACAATGGGTAGGTCGTACTTGATTTTGCACTTGATAAAGTCTGGCTACATTTACAGTTCTACTGGATAGGTATTAGGACTGGCCATAGATATGATTCCCAATCTTCCATCCTTTTTCATTCATCTTGTTTCCTCTTGGGCTTTTTGGGATTCCGAGATCGGCTCTTTGCTTTGCAGAGTGGACAGATGGGTGCATTCCGATGAATTTGTTGGTGACACGATAAACATGCCTGAAATGCAACATTGGAGCCCCTTGTTATAAGCATTTAAGTGCTGTTGACACATGGGTTATTGAATATCGTATTCTAACTTGCAGTACATCAAGGTCTCTTGCCTTCAAATGCACACTGTGCTAGATTTTATATCTAGGTCTTTGGATTGTACAGTAAGTTCAGAACAACTGGAAGGAAAATAAACAAACAAACAAACAAACCCACCAGAATGCCTCACTGAATTAAAATTTGGGCCTGTATCAACAACTCTGACAAAAAAAACTCCATTTGTTATTTTTTCACCTGTTTTGAGGATGCTTGCATAGGAAATACTTCACTGGATCAGAGAAGTGAAAGCATGAAGTTATAGTGAGGACTTTCACAGAATTTGGGGCAAAAATGGTGATTAGATGAATCCTACATAGTGAACATAAAACACTGAGCCCTTTAACTTACATTTGACTGAATTGTATTGCTTTCAGAAAGGCTTTTAATGTCACCTAACTCAAGATACTAAGTGAGCAACTAAGTAAGGAGTATATTTGCCTCTCTGTGCCTTTCCAGTTAGTGAATCTTTGCAATGTGGGTGTGATAAATCTCCCTCTGGAATCATTCAGCTCTTTCTGCTAACTGCAGAGGGAGCTGAGTGTAACTGTTTCAGTGGTGCACCTCACTTGAGTGCTTATGGTTAGATGAAAATATTAGCTTTGATTTGAAGAAGTGCGGAGCCTATCACCTTTCTTGGTAATCTATAACATCGTCACTCCTCACATAATATGTGCATTGCTTCTAACTCGAATTCACTTGGATTCTTTTTTTGGTTTATTTTGTTTTACTTTTGGCGAGGGGGAGGGGATGGAGGGGAAGACTGGTCCAATGCTTTCTTACTTATGTCCCTTTTTCCCATGTGAAACACAAGAGGGCCAAAAAGGTGGCTGTATCTCTGCTGATGGGGAATCATAAAGTCAAAAGAAAGTCAAATAAGAAACGGAGCCTTATCCTCAACCCTTGATTACTGGTGCTACTAGTTTAAGTTTACTGGGATTGCTCTTGACTTGAAATGTTACAGGAAAATCAAAATCAGGACCCATATATATATTATTTTAAATGCTAAGCAACTTTATAAACATTGTATATTACAAAAACACAAGAGAAAAGCCAGCATGTTCCATCTCCTGACCTTCATTGGAGGTGGCTGTTGTCTAAAAGTTGCTGTCTGTCTGGTATCTTGTTTCCTAGCCACTTGCAGCTGTTGGGCAGCAGCTGCAGCTGCAGCCAGAGACTCTGGGATGGGAGGCTCCTGTGGTTCTGTCTGCCATTCTGCTTTCTGCTTTTCAAAGTAACTAAAAACAAAAAGCAAAAATACAACCATTTTTGGACTACTCTGTTAGCTTGTAAGAGATATTATTTTATTTTTTAAATAAAAAGTATTTCCCTTTTACATTCCCCGCTACAGTCAAGTTACTAGTTCTTAAATAGAATTGCTGGTATTTTTCTCTGCATTTGTATACTTCAGACAGATTCTAAAAGAGTGGCATTGCTTGTTGGCCTCTAAAGCATGTTGATTCAACTAGATACAATCTGATAGCTCGGAAAATACACAGTGTATTCATGTAATTTTAACAGCTTTATGTAAAACTCTTAATTATTGACTTTATTTTATTTAAAAATATTATTTTTTTGTGGAGTGGATTAATATATTCCTTGTAGTACCAAGCTGAGTGGAATGGAAAATAGAATCTTATTAGAAATGCAAAGCAAAGCTTTAAAGTTGTGTATTAGTTAAAATGATGGCAAATGGGTCAGACATTGGGATAAATGTAGGTTTCTAAAAACATCATTTGCATTTAAAACAGATTTGTTAAACCAAGGACACTGTTCTTTGACTCAGAAGTAATTCTGCTATCCTACTCTCCCTAGGTCATGTCCCAAAAATGAAATTTAGGCCATAATCCACATCTATTAAACATCCAGGTTAACTTGCCACCTGCTGTCTGTCAGACGTATATGGCTAAACAGTGCTAAATAGTGCTACAATGTGTATGCAGCACAAAGAAAAATTCTGATTAAGAGTAGCATAAACAAGCATGATATTTCTTT